AATTCTGTACCTGAAATAAAAGTTTTAAAAACAGCTCTCTATGTTGAGTTGTGAATGGAGGCCTGTTGACACCCATACTGGGGGGAAATAAAATAAAATGTCTTTCTATTACAAATTTAATTAGCCGGGGTCTTCTTATGAGGACCCATGGGATAAAAAACTTTCATATCTCAGAAATAGAAACAGCTTTGCCTTTCCAGAACAGCTAGTTTGTTTCTAATCTTACTGGTTCTGTGAAGGTGAAACTGGTTGTAGTTTTCTAATTTTTGCTAGGAAGCTCATTTTTGGTCTACCTTTGGCACGGGAGTTTAAATAATGTATTTTGGGCTATCAACCTTACCATATACCTTTTCCTTTTCTCTTCCATCCTTTTTTCCTTGTTTACTTATTTTTTATTAGATTATACCATGAGCATATTGCCTCTCATTCATTTTGGAACTAGGTAGCATAAAAAAGCAAAATAGTCACCATGAGTGTCAGTTTACAAGTAATTTATTTCAGGGATTATATATTCTATGGGAGCTTTATTGAAATTTTAAAATTTGTTTTTAAATTTGTATATTTATATCTCTGCAAGCCGTCTATAATTATTTTTTGGAACAAGGCCAAGGCATAAATGTAATTATATGTGTGTTTCTGTTTTTGTGATACATACATACACGTATATTTCCTTTATTATAATTTCAGTCGTCTAATAGAAGCATTTTAATGAGGTCTTCTTTATTTATTTTTTCATTATTTAAGAACTCAATTGAATGAGGAAGGTGTAAAACCTCAGGCTTAAGGGAAATGGCTTAAGGGTCACTTTAATGCCATGACAGTCACCATTCAAACGTATAGACAGGTACACACTAAAACACACTCTAAGTACCTGGGATAGGTATATCAGAGTTACGACATGTTTTTTCCTATTACCAAAAAATAGAAAATATAGGGAGGTCAACATTATTATAGTAAAAAGTTATCCAAACAAGTTGAAATTAGAATGTGTATTTATATTGTATACATACTATAGAATATTATTTAGAATATCATTCAAACTAAGGGTAAATATTAAAACTATTTTGTCTATCATTGCTTTAATGTACAAAATCACAATATCCTTTTAATGACAATAGTGATATTTTTCAGGAGCTCCAAAAAGTTATCATTTTCATATGCTCATTTTCCTTAGGTTCGGATCAGAAAACTGTAATTCATTGCACATCTTCTCCTGAGATTTCTCTGAGGTTTGTAAGTGGGCCTGGTGCTTCAGTACACTCGTTGCTTGCAGAAAAAAATGGATTCCTGCAATGCCATATAGAAAACTTCAGCACTGAGTTTCTTGTATCTTCTCTTATGAATATTCAACATTTTTTGGAAGATGAAACTGTTGCAACAGTAATGCCAATGAAGATACAAGTTTCTAACACAAAAATAAATTTAAAAGTATGTTAATAAATACTTTTATATCTTCCTTTTATAAATGTACACTTTGCATATCTGGATTTTTATTCATGCCTAAGAATATGCCTTCTTTATAATATATATTCTCTCTCTATATATAACATATACATAAGCATTTATTAAAATGAATGTTGGTCTTTGGGTTGAATGATGTAGAGATCCTTCTTAGAAATTAGAACATATGGCCAGGAGCAGTGGCTTACGCCTGAAATCCCAGCACTTTGGGGAGGCCGAGGTGGAAGGATCTGTTTAGGCCAAGAGTTCGAGACCAATATGGGCAACAT